TCCAAAGTCAAATAAAACCTTCAATGTCACAATTCCAGTAATGAGAACAAAACAACAGAAGTTACTGAACCACAATGAAAGCTGACAAGAACATTTGCATTCATTTTGAGCAAAAACAGTTTCTGAATCAAGAAAGCAGACAAGAGTCGTTTGCTTTCGAGGAGGGTATTTCTGAATCAAGAAAAAACAGAAATGTTGAAGAACTCTATATTCAACCAACTTTAACAGCAAGTACGGGAATTTGCCAAATGAAGATAACTTTAACACACACACGAACAGTCCAGTGATAAATTCGAGATTTGGGATACAATTAAACTCGATCCAACATCAAATCAGAGTTTTGGGGATATCAAGAGAAGAACACAAAATCGAAACCAAAGAGAACAAGAAGAAACATAAAAGACGATTCTTTGCATGTGTGTGAGAGAGAAGGACCTGGAGGCAACGGTCGCAGGTGAAAGGTAAGAAATCGATCTGCTTGCAAATATCGACGGAGCAGTGTTTCCCCAGATCTGGAAACTCCGGTGTCCCCATTGAAACCGAGAATTCGAACTATATTCCGATGAAATAAAGTAAAAAATCCGAAAGAAATTGAAAACGATTCTAGGTTTTTTTTTTTTTTCTTTCCCGGCGAGAGGGGAAACTCCGGGAAAAGAAATCAGATTCCGAGGATTTAGAATGACCAGAAAATTTCGGAGAAGCAAAGAGAGAGCCTTTAAATATGTAAGAAACGTCAACTTAATTCAAAGTCTCTCGTTTTTCGTCTAAAGAACAATTCAGCATTTGGGTTAGGACTAGTTTTCAATTTTATTTAGAAAATTCAAAGAGTCTTAATCAAAATACGATCCAAATCTTTGTCAAACAACGGAAATAAACTTTTTTTTTTGTGACTTTGCATTTTCGACCTTTTGACTTAGAATTTAGAAACTAAAACGCATTGTATGTTCTTAACAGAGCATTAACGTTATCCATTTTCATGATCATTTTGGCTAATAGATGGAAAATAAATTTCTATCAATTTAATGTCCATGTAATAAAACAGTGTAGAAATTAGTGAAAACTAAATGGGCATAGAAAGCTAGATTTTAACTTTAGTCAACATAAGAGAAAGCAAAAACTAGAGAACATGGACCATCCATAATTTAAAACAGAGCAAAAAAGAAATAAAATGTTTGGAAGAGATGAAAACATAGGGTTCAATCCAGCAACATATACTACTACCATAAGGTTCGACCAAAATCAACTCATGAAAGATGATCCAAAAAGAAAACAAGGTGGGAGGTGCATTATTTAGGCTTGGTCTTCAACCTCGGCTTTGGCTTTGGTGCTCGCATCGGGCTTGGTTGCCAAGAGATCCGTGTACTCTTGGAATGGGGATTTAGCGAATTTCGTCTCTTTCCAGAATTCCGGTGTAAGGAACCCGTAAGTCTTCTGAAGGCAATCAAATGTAGCCTGCGAGAAAACATCATGTATAGGATTTTAATCAATGAAAGGTTCAAACCCATATAACAACAACAAAGCAATACATTGAAGACATTAAGGTACAAGAGAATGATGCAGATAAAACTTGCAGTCACCAATAAAACAAACACATCATGAGAATCAAACAGGGAACTCATTTCAGATTGAGCTGTATAAGTAAGCATTGAAAAGATGAACTTATCCAGAATCATCTGGTTTCAAGAGATGAGGATTATATACAAACAGTTAGTTATCAACCAGCAAGTGCTGAATCTACTCATCATCATCAGCTACATTCATACAAGAATTTCTAATTAACTCAGAAAACAGCAAAGAATGACACTAAGTGATCACTGAAACAGCTTAACAGAAAAAACACTGTCTACTTCCATCAATATAGCTATAACTTTCGTAGAGACATTTCATCAATCAAAGTTAATTTTTTCCTAACTTGATGATCTCCTGGAACTAGTTAGTAGCAATAATCGATCTAACACAACAGAAAATATCAAATTTAGCATAATCTAATTGAGATTTCACATCCATTTCAAGAAACCAATCAAAATGAAGCAAATTTCATCTATAAGAATGAGAGAACAACTAGCCTTGACGAAGTTTCCAAGGGTTTTGGTAGATCCCCTGGAGGAAGTGAAAACATCATCAATTCCAGCGAATTGAAGAACCTTCTTAGGAACCCTAGCCGCCACAATACCAGCACCTCTAGGAGCAGGAACCATCCTCACAGTAACGGATCCACACTTTCCGGTAACCTTACAAGGAACCGTATGTGGCTTCCCAATCTTGTTACCCCAGTAACCTCTCCTCACTGGAATCACAGACAATTTCGCAAGAATAATCCCACCTCTAATCGCAGTAGCAACTTCCTTAGAGCATTTCACACCTAATCCAACATGACCATTACCATCTCCAACAACAACAAAAGCCTTGAACCTAGTCCTCTGACCAGCCCTAGTCTGTTTCTGAACCGGCATGATTTTCATCACCTCATCTTTCAATGTAGGACCAACGAGTAGATCTATGATCTGATACTCCTTAACAGGAAGAGAATGAAGATAGATCTCCTCGAGTTGCGTGATTTTACCACCTTGCACGAGACGACCAAGCTTGGTGACTGGGACCCATTTCTCTTCTTCCGTTGCACGTCCTCCACGTCGTCCACGTCCACGGCCTCCACGACCACCTCTTCCGCCGTCACGGCCTCCACCGAATCCACGTCCGAAACCACCACGGTCACCGCTACGCTCGGCGCCACGTTCTCCACCACGTTCCGCCATTGTCGAAGTAGCTTTAGAGTTTGAGAAGTTCGCTGCGATGAGTTTTTGAGTGAGGAAGAGAAAGCCCTAGTTGCGGCGAATTGTGCTATATATTGCTTCAGGAGCTGCAAAAGGATTTTAGGGTTTCTAAAGACACTGTACGGTTTGTTTGGTAACAAGTATAGCATAGTTCAATACACTGATAAAGATAAATGGGCTTATTTGAGCCCAATAAACTAATGAAACTCTTGGCCCGTTTTAAACAAGAAATGCCACTTAATGAGATTTTGTTCATTTAAGTAAACTCGAATCAATTGCTTCAAGTAAGGATCAATTTGTAGATGAAAGGTTTGTGTTAGTGTTGTTGCTACATCATTATAGATTTAAATTTTCCATGTTCACTAAAATCTAAGTACAAATCATAAATTAAACAGAACAAAGAATGCCTTAATTTAAGGTCCATATAAACACTATAAAATGTATTCCTTTATTCATGAAATTTGGACAAACAATTCAGTATGTAGTATACAAATAAAACAACAAATGTCTTGGAAAATATTGCCTTTATGTATTCCTAATCTAAACGATTGTTCAT